CATTCCAACAAAATTGACATTCCCAAACTCATCTTCCTCCATGATACAGTGTGACTACGTTGTCCATCTAGTTGGTATGCACAACACCAAAGTTATTACGGGTTTACATATAAAAGTTTCTGACTCTCTACCTAAATAAATAAGTATCTAATCTAAACCACCTATCTATCTAACTACATCTACTACAAGTACTACCTATATAACTAAATTACCTAACTATATAACTATCTATCTAAATTAGCTAAATAAATATCTACCTAAATTAGCTAACTAAACATCAGTAAATCACTAAATAACTATCTATCCAAATTAGCTAAATAAACATCACTAAATAACTAAACAAGCTTTACCAAACTACAAAACTATATAAAATAAATAACTACATTATCTAAACTAACTCAATAAAAAAAATTAAAGAAAAAAAAACCTGGGAGCCGGTGGCGTCACTGGGGACGTCACTAGGGGCGGTGGGGTCATTGGGAGCCGAGGGAGCCACGAGAGGAGGCGCGGGTCCGGCGGTGGTGGCTCGCGGCGAGGTCCGAGGCGGCGTCGTGGGCCGGTGCGGCAGCAGCTCCGGTGACGTTGCTTCGGTGTGGCACTAGAGTGCTCGGCGGCAGCGGCTCTGGCGGGTTGGGTTGGCGGCGTTCCTGCGGCCTTGAGGCCGATGGTGTCCTCGTGAGCCACGGTGGGGGGATGGGCGGGGTAGCCGCCTGACTCGAACATCGGCGGCCCACCGGCCGACTGGGACGCCGGGGAGAAGCAGGGGTAGCCCTCACCGTCGGTGCGTGTGGAAGGAGCTCTGGGGCGACGAGGGCGGCTGAGGAAGCGGATGGGGGAGCAAGGGAGGCGACCGGCGCGTGGGGGACGGCGGGCGGTGAACTGCAGTAGTGGAGGGGGCGGCAGCCGGTGGAGCTGGCGCGGGCGACGACGGGCCTGGCTGGCGGCGATGGTGAGAGGGAGAGGAGAGATAGAGCGCAAGAGAGGGAGAAAGAGAGCGCGAGAGAGAGCTGCGGTGGCCACACGCTTGAATCCATGCTCGGCGCCAGAATACATGGCGCTGAGGTCGGCGCCAAGATCTGTGGCGCCGAGCTAGGCGCCATGTATTCTGGCGCCGAGGTACCGGTCACGTGAACGCCACCTAGGATGCCCTGCTGTGCTCGGCCAAGCACCTCGGAGCCAAGATTTGTGGCACCGAGATGTGTTACCTCGGCACCATGAGTCCTGGCGCCGACCCCAAGGTCCAAAGATGAGTTTAAGTTTCTCATGAAGCTAAACGTAAATTTTCTTCAAAAGAGGACCAAATTATAAAAAATTGGGTCGCCTAGGCCGGTTGAAGCTCCCCACAGTGGTGGGGCTCTACTGTCGCGACGTGGGTCCCAACTCCTGCTCAGTGGGTCCGGTTCATGCGAGCCGGAAGGCATGCATGCTCTCTTCGTAGCCAACGCACTTACCTCCGGTTCCTGGTTTCGACACATGCCTTCCTCAACGAGTCCTTATTGACCCACAGTTCTTTTCGAGGTGGTTGTCGTGTTGCACATACAGAGCAAAGTCTTTTTTCTTCATGAATCTGCTTTTCTGCAGACATAGAAGTGGTAGAGCAGCTGTTGGTGTTCGTGTTGACCTCCAACGTCCATTGGTGTAGGTCCTTAGATTTGAAACTGATGGTTGTGAACTCAATTTCTTGAGTCCGGTGAAACCTCCATCTTATCTACGGCTCAAGAATATTTATCCTCGAAGACATGGGCCGACCAGATAGTCAAGAGAAGCGCCGACTATGCTATCGGAGTGCGAGAACGAGGACCCTCGATGTTTTTATCATGGCCACTACTCTTGGGCCCTGCGCCCCCGACAAAAACATCACCTATGTTTACAGATGCAGTTCAATAGTGTCTTTTACAGTTCCTTTAAACCGATAAAGCTATTCCTAGGCTGTTGTAATGTGCTTTAACAGTATACTCCGTATAATATATGTGCCGCTGTAAAAAAAACAATTGACGATTAAATAAATCATGTGACGATCAATGACAAAAAAAGCAAAAAGGGAAAACTTTGTATGCCTACAAACAACTATAACTCGGTCGTCGACTCATGCATCCTCAAATGGAGGACGTACTTCCCGAAAAAAAAAGCTTTATTCAACTTAGCCAATTACATTATATATATAAAAAAACTTAGACAAATACATCATGATGATATAATCCTATTAAAAGTACTCCCTACTAACTCCACCTATATAATAAGATGCACACGAGCTATAATTATTTTAAGGAAATAGAAAAAAAGAATATGACACCACATATTTCATTTTACAGCCAGTCTTTTTCAACCACATATGACATACATTTGGATTGCCGGATAGACCCTCCAAAAAGCAACGTCGCCAACAAAAAGAGGGATAGTTGTAATGCTATGAGCTAGCTCTAAGCATTTTATAATTAGGGTAGTTCCAACAATCTAAGCATTTTATTAGGGCAGCTCCAACAATAACTTATGAGCTAGCTCTAAGTATTTTATTCTATATTTTAATAGAAGAGAAAGAAAAGTTAGCTCTTGATCAAGAGCTAGTCTTATACACATATTTTAAAATCATGTGAGGTTGTTGTCTAATCATAAAGTCACTGTTAAAAGTTAACATTATTAGAAAGATATCTTGGAGCTAGTAACCAGTTCTTACTATTACGGGTGCTCTTAAAGAGTAGTTGCAAAACCAACTTGCATGCATGATTACCTAGACGATACCCTACCTCCAACGTGACCAAGCGTAGGGTCCTAGGGAGGGTGAGTGGGGCACGAGGAGACGTGGTTTATTGTTAAGGTAAGGCACCTATACAAATTTGAGGGGTTAGGGAAGACAATGATACATGCAAGTTTATGGGATGTGTGATAACGGAGCAAGTTCAAGAAGATGAGACAATATTTGCATGTTTAGGGGGTTTAAATGAGCCGAGGCCTGTAGTATGAATTATCTCTCGTGAAGTACAACCTACAAAATTAAGCCTCTTAGACCCCTTTGAAATGGAGTGAAAATTTCCTGTTTTCTAAGTTTTTCTCTGAAAATGAATTGATTTTTGTAAACTTTTTGTATAATTCTTGCAAAATTTCTGCATTCTCCCAATAATGCTTTGAAAACCGATGGAGCAGTAATTTTCACAGGAGAATCGGATACTTCTCTTACTACATGCTTAACAATAAAGCACGACCAATTGCTCGGAGGTTCTGTTCTTGTTTCAGATCTCAAGGAGCTTAATTATATTAGCGGGAGTTTACATAACCTGCTTTACCGCAAGCTAGCTTGCTTTATGCTGCAAATAGGTATTAAGTGGGCGTTTGGTTTGAGAAACTATCTCATTTTAGATGAGGTATTGTATCATGAGAATTCATAGGTTGAATTTTGACGGAATCAACATATTACTCGTACCTATATTAAGAGCTTGTTTGATACCCAGTCACCTAAACTTTAGCCCTAGTTATCCAAATAGGTGAATTAAAAGTGAACTAATTTTTAGTTCCCAACCCACTAGCCATTAGTTCATTAGTTGGCAAATGTAGACTAAGCCTTGTTTAGTTCCTCCTCCTAAAGTTTACTCCCTATCACATTGGATGTTTGGACACATGCATGGAGTATTAAATATAGACTAAAAAATAACTAAGTGCACAGATTGCGGCTAATTTGCGAGATAAATTTTTTAAGCCTAATTAGTTCATGATTTGACAATGTGGTGCTACAGTACATGTGCTAATGATGGATTAATTAGGATTAATAAATTCGTCTCGCGGATTACTGAGGACTTTTGTAATTTGTTTTATTATTACTATCTGAACACTCCATATGACACCTCGATGTGATACCCGATGTAACATCCCTGAACTTTATTCCCTCGATTTAAACACCACCTAAAAGGTGCACATGAGTCTATGTCTAGGAAAGCCTTTTAATTTTTGCTTACTTTTATTCTATGTGTCCAAATAGCACTGGACTAAAAATGGTCCTCCTAAACTTTAGCTCTAGGTGATCCAAATAAGGTCTAATTACATTAGTTTGTGAGAGATGAGACGGTGATGAATCACATACCATTCCAAACCAAAAAAAAAAAGAATTAAGAAGATATAATGGACAAATAAATTCTTGAAACCAAACACCCTAAGCAATGAAAAGCTCCCTCTCTTGATCTATATGCAAAAGAAAAAAGTGACTGTGTCGTTACGGCAAAGATACTTTCATATTATATGTGTATATATATTACAGAAAGAAATCAACCTTGTGATAAGATGGTCTAATTCCTCTTCCAAGAGGATGAAGTCGGATTTATTTTCATTATTAAAAAAAAAGAAATCGACTTAGGGTGTACCATGATTCTAAATTATAAGATGTTTTGTCTTTTTATACACATAGCTTTTACTATATATTTAGATATACACTATATATAGATACATATAATTAAAAATGCATATAGAAAAGGTAAAACATTTTATAGTTTGGAACCGAGGGAGTAAAACCTTAGCGTAGCTTTGAAAGTTTGAATTTGCTGTGTTTATACATGTCCTTCATGGCTACACCCTTTTGGACTTGTTTGGGATGTAGTAGGGTTCACAGCAATCCACATGTGTCGTGGTGGATTGAAGTGGAACTTTGAACTAAATTTTATCCCAATCTACTCCAATACATGTGGATTGAGGTGAATCTAACAACATTCAAGATGATACACATGGAGGTGGGATTGACATACATATTTGCATTGGTTGTAGAAATGAGGAGTCGAATCCGAGTTAACCATCCATTTGCTCGCAATTTTCTTCATAATAATGTGATCACATAATTTGCACGGCAAATTATCAAAAAGCTATTTTTTTAATAACATCAAAAAGCTAATTATATTATATTGCAGCACATACTGTCGATTTTTTATAATTAATGATGAGTTCTGCTCTGCTAACAAGATCGATCCTACTACACAAGGCTTACTCGGGATGCGGTACTGCTGACGTAATTCAGCTCGTGGTCAATCAGACTCCTGCAGGCCAGCAAGCACGACGGAGCCGACGAACAGCCCGGCGGCTCCGGCCGTGAGCACCGCCGCGACGACGGCCTGTACGGCGACGAGCGCGACGGAGTCGTCGGGCACGACGACCACCGCGACGACGGCGGCCACGAGGAGCGGCAGGGAGATGGAGGCGAGAACGGAGGGGGACGTCCCCGCCGCGGTCTCGACGAGGCTGAGCAGGCCCAGGTCCTCAGCCTTGGAGAGCAGGCCCAGCTGCTCCAGCGAGGAGAGCGTCACGCCGAGCTCCTCGGCCTTGGACAGCAGGCCGGCCTTCTCCACGGTGCTCAGCACCTTGCGCCGCTCCAGCTTCTTGAACACGTCCACGGACACCTCCTCGCTGCCCTCCGTGAAGATGCCCGCGCCGAACCACTGCTTCGACCAGTTCTCGTCGTAGCGGTTCACCTGCACGACGACGAACACGAGCATGCATGCTGAGATTTCTATTTTTTGTTGTTGTTAAGGAATGACGAATCGAAGCTGCAGAGTTTGGGAAGATGGGTGGAACTGCCAGACCAGTTACCTTCTTCTTGGGCGCCATGGCCGTGACCTTGAAGCGCCTTCTGCTTGTGGAGGGCAGGAGGCCAGCAGGCTGGGACAGGCGAGACGAAGAGCAGCAGCCCGAGATCGCTGCAGGTATTGCAGCCATTATTTCTTCCTGCTCCTCTTCTTGCCTGTTGAAACAATGTAATTTGGCGCAGCCTTGGCCTTGCCTTGTTTCACCAGCTCTGCTTCTTGGGATTCTCCTCAGTTTCGCTGTCTGCAGGAATCGAAGAAATCTGAATGTGACCACTGGTTGAGGGGCTTATCTTTGGGCTGGACCCACGGGCGCATGGAGAGCGAAACTCAGCCACATATATGTCGCTTGTCGCGTCGATGTTCCCTACCGTTACCGGCCTACTCGCAGGCCACGGAATTACACCAGCACAACCACTGCCAACCACATGGCCTTTGCGCCCTTGCCCTTGCGCTGCCCATGCGCAAACACGCTGAGGGTGCCCCTAACGCGACACCGTGGACAGACAGTGGCTTCAACGCTGAATGTCCAGATTAGTAGTATTGGTGGCTCTGCAAGTTGCCATAAGATCTTGCAAAAAAACTCGTGCCTCGTCTCACAAAAAGAAAGAGCACTCGCTAGGCTACCCGTTGGAGCTGGATGAGAGCTTCTGTTACGTGCTTTTTCGTTTAGGGCAGCAGCAACTTAAGCGGTCGAGACTATATGCCTCAGCCCGCGTTTAGTTGGCCACCGAATCGGCGCCGCCGTATTTTCCTGGCGCTACAGTAACGTTTTGTTTTTATTTGGTAATAATTGTTCGATCGTTGACTAATTAGCTCAAAACGTTCGTCTCGTAAAGTACAACCAAACTATGCAATTAGTTTTTGATTTCGTCAACATTTAGTACTCTATGCATGTATCGTAAGTTTGATGTGACGGATAATCTTCTTTTTACGTAGCGCCGAATTCAGGAATTGAAGGCAACTAAACAATGCCTCAGTTAAATGGTACAGGGCCAAGGTAGCCATCAACGAGGCTATACATCTCTCATCGCAGCCTAGGGTTTCTCCATGAAAAGCAGCTTTAGCTTTTCTCAGAGTTATGTACCCGTTTCACCCTCAAATCATGAAAGCGCGTGATGAAGCTGCCAGCAACCTTGCTCACAACACGAATTGAAAGAGTGCCTCAATCTTTTGTCAGTTGAAGCACCTGCTGCTTCTGCAAGCTAATACGGATACCTGCGAAGCCACTAGACGGTATGATCTGGAGCCTTTATGCCGACGTGGACACTGGGGCTAACAATCAGCATGTAGTGTTGGGGTTGCTCTTAGACCACACCCTCCTGCGCATGTATTCCCCTGCCAAAAGCTACAGTTGCTTTTTTTACTGGGAAGAACATAAAGGAGAGAATGCTGTGGCTCGCGTTGGAAGACATGATGGTTTCAACCGGTGAGTTGACATGGCCTGCTGCTTTTGTCTGGGGCTAATGTTCTTGTTAGCTTGCGTTGCTGGTGCCCTGAGTTGCAAACTTTTGTGCTCGGCAATTGATCTTGGATCCGTAGTTCGTTGTTTCTAACTTGGCATCTTTCAATTTCACCGCAATCCTCTCCACTCACTATTAAGACGCATAAGTAGTGAGTTAACGTGTTTTTTCATAACTGTGCCTAGGCATGTATTTCATTAAGCGGAGGTAGAAAAAGATTACAAGTTACCCACTCATTGGTAAGCACCAAGCTTACCAGAGAGAAGGAGAACCAAAAACACAATGAAAAAAAAAGAACTGAAACAACTCCCTAACCGCACAACGACACGCTCGGCCGCTCAGCCACGCTCAAAGCAACAGAACAGGTTCTGTGATGACAAGAAGAAGCAAACTTGCGAGTCCTTAAGGCATCTCGGGCAGAAGCCCATAAACCTTCGGGACCTAGTCATTCTGGAATACGGCATCCTGAAAAAGGACCTTGAAGGCCTTATGCTTGGACTCTAATAGCGGTTCAGCAAAGATGGACTCATACTTCTGGATTGGTGCAGTGTCTATGGGCTGGGTAGAATTCGTGAGCCCCCACTTGACCACAAGAACCTTCTGGGTCTGGAGAGTTAGGTAGGCCAGCCGAGGTTTAGCAGCAAGTGATTTAACATGTTATTTAAGATATTGATATAATTTTGACTTATGTTGTCCAAATGTGAATATGGGTATCAGATAACACGTGGATATGTTATTTTTGAAAAAAAAAATAATGACACAGGGATATACAACTGCTATATCTACTACTCCCTCCATCCCAAATTGTAAGTCATTCAAAGAATCTTGGAGAGTCAAACTTTTTCAAGTTTGACTAAAATTATAGAGAGAAACACAAAGATTGATAACATCAAATAGGCATAATATGAAAATATAACTAATGAAGAATCTAATGATACTTACTTGATATGATAAATATTATTATTTTGTTATATAAATTTGATCAAACTTGAAAAACTTTGACTCTCCAAAATTTTTGGAATGACTTACAATTTGGGATGGAGGGAGTACCACATAAAAAGCAAAAGGAGGTTTCGTGCACTTCGTGTGCGCGCCTGCCCCCCCAGGCTGCTACGGTGTGCTCGCCCCCCAGGCACCTCCGTGACCGTTTTGGTTTCATTCCTCCGTGAAATTAACTCTTGCTGGGCCCTCCACCGTCCGCCCGCCCCCAGGGCCAGGCTGCTGATCGGTTTTCACCAAATTATAATGATATCGACGAGAGTTTGTTTGGAAGCAAAATCCTCTGGTCAACAATATTTTAGGAGACTGCTGATCAGTCGCATCGCACCAGCAACTCTAACCCTTCGCCAGGGACCCTGGCGGCACGGCGCGGCATGTCGACAGGTGAAGGCGGCGGCTGCGTCAGGAAGAAAAGAAGCACGGACGGCGACGGCGAGAATGGCCACAGCAAGAGAAGCCGGATCGCCGCCGCTTCAACAGCCGAAGGTAGCGAGACCGGAGACGACACGGGAGATTACAACATAAACGGTGACGAGATCGACGACAACGGCGACTGCACCGGTGAGCATTCGAGATCTACTACTACAGCGACGATGACGAGTAGACGGAGGTCGACGGCGCCGAGGCGATCGAACGCGCCGAGGAGAGGTACATCGTTCTGAGCCAGGACGCTATCCGCGCGCGGCAGGAAGCGGACATCGCCGAGGTCGCCGATGTGTTGTCCGTCCCACCAGCCTTCGCCGCCGTCCTGCTACGCCACTACAAGTGGCGATCGATGCGGGTCCAGGAGGAGTGGTTCTCCGACGACCGGCGCATCCGCGACGCCGTCAGCCTGCCCGCGGACGGCGTCGTCCTCGTGCCCACGCGGCGCTCAGCAGCAGGGCATAGAGGGACGCCTACGCGGTCGTCTGCCTCCAGACGCGCGGGCGTAGAGGCACGCAGACGGGATGGTGGCGAGGCCGCCAAGGAAGGAGTCCGCGCGTGAGGTGCTGTTCGGACCAGTTGCAGCGGCGGTTGGCCCAGCGCACACCCAGCGGCAGCGCTTGGATGGCCGCAGCCCGTACGCGCAAGGAGAGAGAAACGAAAAAAAGTAAAATAAGTGAGAAAAAATGAATGAAGAAAAAACAATAAAAATATAAAAGGTTACTACAAACATTTCACTGCTTTCAATAGGTGAAACTATTTATCGAACATTTTTCTAAAACAGTTTCAGTTATACCAGTGAGGCTGCTCCACAATCCTAAGAAAAAAAAACTACTCTACCACTGAAGCAGGTTATACCGAACACACTTATAAGAGTTCGTGTTTGTTTCTGTGCTTGCTTAAGAGACAACATGCACTGAAATTTTAGAGGCTGCTTATTGATGTATGATTAGTGTACTACAAAGCTGGTATGCAAAATTTTTGATTGGCCATTGAAGAAGCACGGGCATATATATCTAGTCTTAATAATATAATAGCTATAATATACAAAATAAAAAATATCAAGTTTTCTGTTTTCAACAAAACACAATTTACTGAGAAATTAAATATGCTATCGTGCTTTGAGCTGCTGATCATATGATAAGATACCAAGCAAAGATATATCAGATGCGGCTCTCCTCCTCTTTTTTACACGAGGGTGACATGCACTCACAGCTGGCCATCGGCGATCAGAGACAGAGGGTGGACCTGGAGGATAAATTGCAAGGAGCAGAGGTAGAGCGATTGCGACTGCTGGATGGTGCTCGCCGCTGATTTCTGCCGAAGAAGGACCTTGCTGCCGCCCACCGGCTGCTGGAACTGGAAGAGACGCCGGCGTCTGCTGGGAACTGGGATCGATGGGGAAGACTCAGTCAAGACGAGGTATGGGCCAGTGACGCTGATTCTTGTGTTGGGCCGTATCCCAAAGCAGCCTGGCCGTGTCTATCGGCGTATCTAAGCTGATACATCTCCAAATTGCTGAGTACGGCTGAAATACATATCCAAGGAGTATCCCATGCGTATTCGTATCTAATACATATCGGTACAGGATACGTGACCTGTGAAGTATCCGCGCATCATAGACTATGACAGCTCTTTGGAGTGTGTATAATTAGAAATGGCAATGGGTATCTGAAATCTGACGAGTTTTTATCCTATTATAGGACAAGGACATAGGTCAACTTCTATACCGATGGGTTCGTTAAAGCCAGATCCATTGGGTTCATGTGTGTGGGTCTAGGATATAGTACCTTTTTAAACCCGATTTATCATATATTATGGAGTAATTGAGTGTTTTAATCGTATGGTGTTTCCAACTTTTCTGGTGCTTATGCCCGAGAGACAATAGAATATGAACATGGAATATTTTTAAAACTTTCATGAAAATATAGACATGTAGATGATGAGAAAAAATAAGAAAAAAGAATACATCGCACTACACAGTATGATTTTTTGAAAAAAAAAATAATGCTCATGCACATGAGATTTTGAGAGCACATGAGAGCTGTCTAATTCTGGGCCGGCCCATTTAGCATAGTGGCATGGCACTCTACAACAACATTGTTGTTCGCCTGCTAGCTCTGCTCACTGAGAGAGAAGAAATAGTTCCACCTCGCCTGTTCAAACAAGAAGACCAATATCAAACTCTTATACCGCATTCCCTTCACAGAAGGAAATAAACGCTGCCAGGAGCACGATTCCATTGGGA